GCTGGCTTCAGAGATAAACTAGGAAGAAATGTGATCATTATCATACTTGTTATTGTCTAAGTGGATTATCAATTTGTCAGTATTCTTGGACGGAAGATGCAGAATCTCTACCACTGTTAAGGGATGTGTTAGGCTCATGTTTCAATCTGTTAGAAGAAGTTTACCCTCTCTACAACATTCTCTTGAATCGCTACCAAGAAGCATATGAATTTTTCTCGAGCGCTTAGAGTATCTTAAAATAGTTATGATCCGAAAACTTAGAAGCAGCAACATTGTTTGATAATGGTTGTTGTAACATGTAAAACTCAAGTTTTTCTTCATGTTACACTTATTTCAACTTTTTTTTTAATGGAAGATATATATTTGCATGAATAAATTTTTGAGAGATCTTCTAAAGGCTAATTAAGGAGGCGTTAGGATTGAAAAATTGCATGCTACAAATTGACAACTCGAGTATAGCGGTGATCATGGATGAAGGAAAGAGCTTCATGCACACTACTATTCACAGAGTTAGGAAAAGACAATCAAAAATTCAAAGCATAATTCTCTCTATGTGAAACTATTGTTTAACCAAATTCAGAAGATAAGGAATTGGTTAAAAATACTTATAGAATGCCCAAGGTCAGTTTGGAACCAGACATTGCATTACAATTGTTTTTGTATGAACTTTATTGAATTATGGTGTTCAAAAATAAAATAGAATGGAATAAAACCCTGCTTAATTAGTTTCTATTAAGCTTTGTGAATGTCAAGTAGGCATGGCAAAACCGACCTACGACCTGCAGGTTGACCCAACCCGCCCATAGTTTTGACCCATACCGGTCGGGCCAAATGGGTCACGGGTTGAACAGGTCACAGATCATATATCAGCCTCCAAAATATGGGTTCGGTGAGGTTGGGTAGCTCAAACCAGCAGTGATAAAAATCACGGAGCTTGTCATCGAAGTTCTATTCCATTTATGGAGCAAAAGGTGTTCTTGTCAATTGGAGGTCCAAGATTGTTATCTTTCAAAGCTAGAAGAAAGTGTGATGTGAGAAGTTGGTCTTCAAAGAAGGAGTTTTCACCTCAACCTTCTAGAGGGAGCAATGAGGAAGAATCGCTTAATCAATAAGATCAAGTATCAAAAGAGTCAAGTGATGACTTTACTAAAAATTGGGATGATTTAAGTGGAAGTTCAATTGATGTTGTTGAGATCAATGCAAGTGAGTTTGTTCTAAAGAATAATTAAACACCATGAAGACATTGAAGATATACATTCAAATGTGTAGAAGACATCATTGGAGTTTGAAGGTTTGAATGGAGCCATGTGCGCCAAAAGTATTTTAAATAGGAAAATGATATATATATATATATAGTGAAAAAAATAGTGACTATGGCCCCCTATGTTTTAGTTACTTAACCATTGAAATTATATCTTTCTCATAAATTATATTTCTACCCTTAATTAACAAGTAATATATTTAGTAAGTGTGGTGTACTTGTCTTTTTATTAGTCAATATACATTTTCTCTATAATTAGTCACTATCTCTATCATTGCTCTTTTAAATGATAGAATCCGTAAAAAGATAACAATTCTATTTATCTAGAGTCAATAAAATTATTTGCAATGAGGATTAATTATCTAAAGTAGCAGCCGTCCCTAGGAAGGTTAAATCATTAGGGGTATTTAAGTCTTTTACTATTAAAACAAGTAAAGTTAATTACTTTGCTTAATGATTAAGTTAAGTAAGAGTTAGAGTCAAAATTGGCTACGTCTTTCCTTCCTATGTTTTGGATCGAGTAGGGAAAAGGGAAAGTGACCTTCTCTTTAGTCTTACGTTTAGGTTTTATGTCTTAGAGAGTATGAAAACTTGCCTATGTAAGGGTGGCTGATTCTCTCAAAAAATAATGGTGTAGTGATGTATTGAGTCAAATAAATCAATGGATTTATGAACCTTTGTGGTTTCCTACAACAATGAGCGTTTCTCGTTGTGTTGAATGAATTTTACGGTTAGTCATTCCTGCTTTCTTAAGGCCTAACAGGACTTGGTCTTCGAATAAACCGTTTTATCATGTTGAGCTTTTGCATGATTTAATTGTTCTAAAACTAATAGTTTTGTATGTGAATTGAATGAGTGCCAATAGGTTAGAGCTTGGTTTAGCTTAGGTTTTTCGGATTTCTTGTGAGATTTATGCATAAGATGCCTTGTGGAGTTTGTCTATTTTATAGATGGGTTTGCTTGAAAATAGGATAATAATTTATGTGTTTTGTATGATTGTTGCCTTGGTTGCGAATTGTCCTATTTTAAGTAGTATTATTTTTGATAGTATTGTTTGTAGTTGAGTAATGATTTTCTCATTACATGCATCGTCAATTACATCGGTAATTGTTCGATTATATTAAAGGGTTTAATCTTTGTGATTCGACTGTTCAATCCGAATAGTTATTTGGATTTTGTGTTATGGCTTTTGTTTGAGTTCATATGGTAGTAGTGTTAGTACTACATGGTGTGTTCATTTGTGAATTTCCGCACTCTTTTTAGAGTTTCAGTTTTACACGTTCTTTTTTTGTGCCTTCTTGTCAATGGTTCCATTAACGAAATTTGGTTCATCTACGAAATTGATATCACATGGGCCGAAACGAGTCGCGCAATGAGTTTGATAGCAAATCAACAAGGCTTCTATTTTTTTGTTCTCCACGATTCACGGTAATCGTCGCCAGCTCACCATTCGGATCTGTCGTTGCCCGCCAAAAATTTAAATATTAATTCTGATCTACAAAGGTGTTTCCTATCCTAGTGAACCAAAAAAGAAAGAATATTAGAGAAACTCACTTTAAGCTGTTGGAAACAGTAATACTAATGAATAAGCAAACTGAATCTAATGTTGGGGAAGCGGAGGAGGGGTGTGTTGGTTGGTGGTTGTATCTCGAAAGAAGGAAGAAACGTGGTGGCCCGGTGGGGGAGGAAAGTGAATTCGTTTGTAGGGTTTTAATTAATTTTCTTTTTCAGTTAAATAAGGCTTTAAATTTTGAATTGACAACTTATGTCCTGGTGGCTTTGGGAGTTTTGTCTTCACTGACCCAAAAAAAAAAAAAAAATTACTCCTGTATCAGAAGATAATAATAATTTAAACTTTATTTCAAGAATATCTGTTGCATGGTAGGATTCTTCATAATGTCCACAGCTTATTCGTATTCTGGGTTTGTAACCTGCCCCTCTCGACGGGATTGATGCAATTTGTTGAGTGTCAGTTCATAATCCCCGGGCTCCGTTTGAGTATGTTACCTCTGCCGCTTGGAGATAGATGAGGGACTGGAACTCTCGGCCTTTAATCTGGAACCATTTGAACATCCCCAATGAGATTTTATGTTAAAACTCACGGCATCTTCTACATTTTCAAAAAAAAAATAGCATGTTTCTATGGACTAAAGATATGTATCTGGTCAGATGTTGGATTCCCGATCATTTTGTAATGGACATGGCTACTCTCCAACCACTTAGGAAACCATCAAGATCTTCTTTGTGAGCAAACATTTCATTTTCTGATAGTTGAGCAGAGCATGAAAGAATTTTTGCCCCATTAGGGAAAATAAAATCTTCTTGGATGAATTTTTGTCAGACAGGGGCTGGGTTGGAGGAAACCACTTTGATGTACCGAAAAAGCTTGAAAACCCTAATTTCACTGTTATCTCAAAATCTCAAGAAATGGATAGACATAATACAATGAAATAATGAATTAAAAATATTAATTTAGTTTGTAATTTAAAACTTGTAGGCTGAGGAACTAATCAACTACGAGCAAAACAATAATGGAAAGAATGTAATGGCCATAGACTTGAGGGTGCTTGACTTTTGGGTGAGTCAAACCCAAAATTGTGGAACAAAAAATGTGTAGGGTTTAAAAACTGGACAAATATAATATTCTCGCGCTTTCAAAACGCGAAACAAGAAAATTAAATTAACAATTCGTGTTTGTGAAACGTGAACCCTGTATGAAAGAAAAAAAAATTGAATTAAAAAAGGACTACCATTTTTCGCGTTTTGGAAACACGAGAAACCTAAATCGCGTTACAGAAACGCGAAAAACTATTTTTGCGTTTTAAAAATGCTAAAAGTTATAAATTTTAAATTTTAAATAAATTGCGGTTTGCAAATAACTATTTAGCATTTTGAAAACGCGAAAAAAATTTTCTAGCATTTTGAAAGCGCGAAAAATGAATTTAGCGTTTTCAAAACGCTAAAATATCCAGAAAATCTCCTCATCCACTCATTCGGCTCCACGTGTATTTTGACGATAAGTCTAGAATGTATTCGCGTTTTGTAAACGCGAAATTTAAGATTCATACACCAAACCAAGCAAAATAACAGCATTTCTTCGCAAACTTTTTTCATTCTGTTGAGCTCCGATTTTTCTTCCCAAACTTCTTTCATTCTGTTGAGCTCCGATTTTAAGTTTCACTCCTGAATCCGTGAAAGCTCTCATTTCCTTCAAATTGAGAAGTTGCTCCGAAGTTAAAGAAGATTGATTTGAGTCCTGAAGCCTATTTAAAACCCTAAGTTTAAACATTCAGGTAAGTTTATTTCGTTATAGAAAACATGTACTTTTTTATGCCTTATTGTGAGCATAGGATGATTTACGCATCATTATTAGTTAATAAATAATTGTGATTTAGTCAATTAATGGTGATTTTTTAATTAGGCAGATAAAGTGAATTGAAAGAAATATTAGTTAATAGAATGTTAAATTAGATGGGCGTTGTAAATTATTATATATCCATTTCTGTAAAATAAACTAAAATTATAATAATGATATTGATTTTTTGAATATTTTTAGCATAAGAAGGTTTAGATTTAATATTAATTTTTAGCATAGAAATGAATTTGTAAATTCAGGCGTAGAGTTGTTCTTTTGAAATTATTAAATCTGTAAACGGGGTAAATACTGTTTCCACAAAACTAAAATTCAAAATGTATTCTAGTGTTCTGATTTCGTAGGAATTGATTTTGCAGGCCGCAAATGTCTTTCACGGAGAAAGTTTGTCTGAAAGTATACTGGAATACTACTTATACAACTGAACCTGATGGGACTATCACGGTACAGCAGGAGGCGCAGGACGGTTATCTTATCATTGATCGTATGTTAGATTTCTCGTAACTTATTGATAAGGTATGTGGTGTGATGGAAGTTGATAGAGAAGGGCTGTATATTGATTTTTCTTTGGTATAGACGAAGAGGTCAGGAAAAAGGTCTCGTGTGCACATTAATGATGATAATACTGTTCGGTTCATTTATCTTTGTGCTGATAAATGGCCAGAATTGCACCTTGAAAATGTTGAGAGAATAGGCCATGTTTATGCTAGTACATCTGGCCAGGATATTGGTACCAGCACTAGTGGTAGTAGAACAGTTAAAGACAATGAAGATGAAGATGGAGATGAAGATGGAATGAAGATGAAGATAAAGATGAAGATGGAGATGAAGATGAAGATGAAGATGGCGGGGGTGTCGAAAGCAGTGATGATGAGTACGTCCCATCGGATGAGGACTCAGATGACGACACTGATTTTGAGTCATCTTCTTCAGTCCCATATGTTTTCGACGACATCAGTGGATGGGACAAGACTTTAGAGGAAGTAGATTGTGATGGGATTCAAATGTGGGATGGCAATCCATTGACGCTAGGCCTTGATGTACATTTTTCACCAACAAGCCTGAGGCACAAGCGGCAGTGGGAGAATGGAACTTGGTACATGGTCGGACTTTCCGGGTGAAAACGAGCTCTAAACGAACATGGTATGTCGAATGCGAGACCTGTGGACCCAAATATCCGAAAGAGCGTCTTCACGGCTATGATTGCCTGTGGAAGGCACGAGTTTCGCTACAGAAGGCCACCGGTACTTGGAAAATGGTGGTATGGCCCGATTCCCACAACTGTCTTGGGGCAAACAAGAGAAACAAGTCCCGAAACGTCACGTCTTCTATGATTGCTAGACTGGTTGCCCAAAATGTGCGAAAACATCCAGATTTTGCTGTTGCCCAAATTCAAATAGAAGTTTTGAAGAGGTACCAAGTCGGATGTAGCTACAAGAAGGCATGGCATGGTAGAAGAAAAGCACTTGAGGCTCTGTATGATACATGGGAAAGTAATTTTCAACAACTGCCCAGCTTCCTTGATGCATTGTTCATGTCAAACCCGGACACCTGTGTGCAATTCAAGTTTAAGAAAAATTCAGGAAGCTCGCAAAGGTTTGTATGTAGGTATGTTTTCTGGGCATTTGGGCCATCTATACAGTTATTTCATGCTTGCTGGCTAGTAATAACAATCGATGCCACTCACCTGCGAGGATCCTACAAAGGAAAACTAATTATGGCATGCGTGAAGTGCACAAATGGCACAATTGTTCCCATCGCATTTGCTCTTGTGGACAAAGAGACTATACACAGCTGGAAATGGTTCTTGAAGTATTTGAAAAAGTTTGTTCTATAGGATAGGAAGACCTGTATTATCTCTGATCGAAATCAGGGTATCCTTACTGCCATGGACATCATGTTGCAAAAATTTCCAGAGATGGGAGTCCACCGGTATTGTCTAGAGCATGTTAAAGAAAACTTAGTTGGGCATTTCGAAAGGAGAAACTGGGAGGCAACTGTCAAATGATTGGTTCAGCGACGCAAAAGACAAGGTATTTGGCAGAGTGGCAAAAATTAGAAGAAAAAAATGAGGCTGCAGCTCGTTGGCTTCAGAAGCTGGGTGTTGAGAAATGGACCTGTTTACACGATGGAGGGCATCGTTGGGGAGAAATGACCACTAACATTTCAGAGAGTTTCAATAATGTGCTGAAAGGTGCTAGATTCTTCCTGATCACAGCTTTGATCCTAGCATCCTTTCAGAAAAGCAACAATCTGTTTCAGGCAAACATTGATATGATCCAGAAATGTCAGAATGTTCTACCTCCTAAGCCAATGAAACTGTATGAAGAGGCCCAGAAGAAATCATTGAGGCAAAAGATCAACCAGTTTAGCAAGAAAAACCAGAAGTACGAAGTGGTTACAATAGCACCTGATAATCAACCATGGAAGGCTGAGGAGAAGCAAGTTGTGCTCTATGCAGATCAAGAGTGCACTTGCGGAAGGTGGCAGACTTTCAGATTTCCTTGTTCCCATGCACTTCGAGTTGCCTGTGAGCTAGGTGACGACCCCTTCCCACTTTTTGATCCATGTTACACTACGCAGCAATGGTACCAGCAGTTTTCTGGAGAATTCAACCCAATCATGGAACCATGGCCAAAGGCAACGTGGCAGATCAAGCCAGATGACACTAAACTTGTCCACCATGCTGGCCGGGGTCGAAAGCGTGTGAATCGGAAAAAAGGTGTGATGGATTATACAAGCAAATCTGGCCAGCAAAGACTCCAAACTTGCAGTTTATGTAAACTACAGGGCCATAATGCCAGGGCTTGCCCATATGCGAGAGTTTGCGCACGATGTGGAAGTTTAGATCTTGATGCTGTGGAATGCCCATTTTCTCATCCACCTGCTGACAGGACCGCTATTGATAAACTTTACGATCCATATGGAATTCGTGGTGTGCCTAATATCAATTCTGATGATTCTGATGATGCGTAGTGATGATTTTCCTTAAGATGCATAGTGATGATTCTGTTAGTGTTTGTATTTGTGTGTTGTTTTGAACATTCATGTAATAAACCTCAGATGATGAATCTGTTTGCGTTTGTATTTGTGTTAGTGTGTTGGTTTGGATGTTTCTGTGATAAACTCTAACCATGTAATAAACCTCAGATGATTTTGTTTGCGTTTTTTATTTGTGTTAGTGTGTTAGGGTTTAGGGTAACAAAACTAGTTATTTGTTTATTCATTTTATGATAAATAAAGATGGCTTAATTATCATAAACGTTAAATTAGTTGTGTAAATAAAATTATTTGTCAAAATTACCAAAATACCCCTGGACTCCAGTATAAAATAATGAATATTTATGTCTTTTCGGTCGAGTGGACCGATTTTTTTGATTAATCTGTTTTAAACTAAAATTGCGTTTCTGAAATGCGAAAAAGTGTAGCCATAAGGAATTTTCGCATTTCGGAAACGCGAATTTGGGGATATAGGTTGTTTCACGTTTCTGAAACGCGAAATTTGGTGGGTTAAATCCCAATTTTCACGTTTCGGGTTAATTCTGAAATGCAAACAAGACCGGTGGCCGGCGTACTCCATTGAAACCGGCGGTTTTTCCGGAATCATTGCCGGAAGCGAGTTTCGGCATCAATTTTTTGTATTTTGTGGGCTATATATCAAGGTAAGTTGTGTTTTTGCTCTCATTGAATCGTTTTTTTTTTAATTCATACTTTAAATTCTGAATCCTAAAAATTTTGTGTTGGTTTCGTTTTCTTTCGCGATTTAATATTCCGTTAATAGATCTAGTATTATAGGTGGTGTAGTTGTGGATTTTTTTAAAAAAATTCGGGATTGGGTTGGATGAAAAAATTGCCGGCGGGTTTGAAGGGATAAGGGGGTTGCCGGCGGGGGGGGGGGAGTGTCGGGGAATTGCAGGGGGTTTAGAGGGGGGTAGGCTTAGGGGTGGGCTTAGGGTTGTGGGGTGTTGGGCTTAGGGGGTTTAGGGTTTGAGGGATTGGGTTGGGTTTAGAATGTGGGTTTGGGTGTATAGGGGTGGGTATTGGGTTGGGTTTAGAATGTGGGTTTTGGGTTGGGTTTAGAGGGGTGGGTTTAGGGGGTTGGGTATTGGGTTGGGTTTATAAGGGTGGGTTTAGAGGGTTGGGTTTATAAGGTTGGGTATTGGGTTGAATTTTTAAAAAATATATAGATAATTAGGATACAACAACTAGGGATATATCTCCATGTTTGGAATGATTATGTTGGCGAGCCTATCGCAGATCCGGAGTATCTCTTGTGGTATCATCAGGTTACTGTAAAGTATGTTACGGATCCGACGGACTCTGAAAATACGAGGAGTTTTCACGGCTCTGCAGAGACCTTGCGCCTCATGGTGAGTATTTCACCTACAGTCCATTATGTAATTTATTAATACTGTTATCGATTTATGATTCTTTCTAACAAAAATTTCAGGCCACATTGATGGAGGACGTTCGTAGTCTGAGTATTATAGGCCAGCGTACTTTCGACGCGGACTCCTTTGGTTATGATCGCTTAGGCGAGATTGCGCAGGTTGCTGAGCGGGCATTGTCCGTCAATGCAACGAATGTTGTACATCACGATCTCGATAGGCATGTTGAGGTTAATGACATTTTGAGTCAAGAACTTGCACCTGTAGACCCGACCCAGCAACATCCACCACCCAGACCTCCGAGGCGTTCGCGCAGGTCTCAGCGTGGGCGTGGGGGACAAGAGACAATCACGCCCACTCAGCCACATCAGTCCTCCCAGCATTAGCAGTCTCATATCCCCTTCACTGACGGTTCATCCCATTAGTCTCCACATCAGTCTCCACACCATTCTCTGCAGCATTCATCCCATCAGTCTCCACATCATTCTCCACATCATTCATCCCATCAGTCTCCACATCATTCTTCGCCGACCCAACAGGCGTTTTACCGTCCCATTATGTCTTCCCAGCACCAGCAGTCCCATTTTGCCTTCACTCAGTTTTCCTCCCCTCAGACTTCTCAGCCTCAGTTTGGAGATGCTTTTATTGACTTTTCTGGGTTCCAGCAGAGTTTGCTAGATGGCCAGTCGATACATTACACGAGTAACTTTCTTTCGAGTATGTTCGAGGGTGTTGCGGGTCAGCATCAGGCTGATGACCCAGCTGGAGGTGAGCGTGAGAGTCAGGGTGAAGATGAGGCTGGGATGAGGCTGAGGATACAAACCAGGATGATCAGTTTGAGGGTCAGGGTTATCAGCGCCATGAGGAGCAGGGATCGAGTCAGACTCTAGGGACTCCACCGTTGGCTGTGAGTAAAGGCCAGAGAGTGACGAAGGAGCCCGATAGATTGACTTATAGCCATTTCCGGGCTAAAAAGCCCAAGAAGAAGTAGGGTACTAGACTTTTTATGTAGTATTATTAGACTTGTATTTTTTTTTTCCTTTTGTTCATTTATGTTTTTTTTCCTTTTGTTATGACTTGTAGTATTTTGTTATGACTTGTATTAATATTCTTAATAGTTTGATTTTACCTGCATCGTTGCTACTTTATTAATATTTATCAAACACATCTTCGCCGATCAAATCTAAACACATCTTCAAACTTTCTTATATTTTTTTAATAATTAATAGTTGCTTCATCTTTTTTTTTTTTTTAAACAAACAGCAAAGTATTTAGTTTATCCAAACAAAAGATGTAATTCTTAGCTCTTACATACCAACCGTCTATTAAAATTACCACATCCACAAAAGAATAGTACCAGATACCTAAAACAAACATTCAGTAAACTAAAGTTCTCTTCAAAATTAAGATGCGATGCATTAAACAATCGCATTAGTAGCACTTGCAATCCTAGGCCAAAGATCATCACACTCCTTTCCAATGGGACCACTGATTGCAGAACCTTTCATTTTTCCCTTGGGATTAACAATCACTCTAGCATTATCTTCAGAGTACATGTAGACACCGTCCTTTCGGCGCCATGGCTTGCGCTAGCGGACAATGACTGCGGGCATGACCTTCTTTCTGACAGAGATCGGGCTTACCCTTCTTGACGGTGGCCATAACTATGTCACCGACGCAATCAGAAGGGAGACGGTTGAGCTTACCCTTCATTCTCTTCACTGAAATGATGTAAAGGTTTTTTACCCCGGTGTTGTCGGTGAAATTCACCGTCGCAGCCACTGGAAGACCCAGGGACATCCTGAACTTGTTACCCGCCGATCCTCCGTGTCCTCGCTTCGACATTTTTGCTGTCTCCCCTGTGAGGTTTCCGAAGAAGAGACAATAATTGCTTCATCTTAAGCGTTGGTAAATTATAATAAATATTTAATAAAATTTATTCATATTTTAAGTTTTTTTCTTATATTGAAACCGTCATAATTAATAAAAACAATTTGTAAATTAAATTACATCTAATTAAATCCATAAAATTATGTCATTTATCATTATTGAAAATTTTTCATATAAAATTATTTTATAAAATAATGATTACATTTTTAATATAATTTTTTAAATATTTAATATAATTTTTAATATAATCATTATTAAATTTTTTATATAATGTTTTAAAAATTTAATACATTATAATAACTATATCATACTTTTAATAATTTATATTTAGTATAGCTCTATTTAATTTAATGAGTATCAATTATAATATTATATTCTTATTCAAAATTTAATTTTCGTATTATTAAAATTATCAATATAATTTTCCTCTTTATAGCTCTATTCAAAATTTAAGGATTACCAATTACAATTTTAAAATTTTGTGTTACCATTATTCAAATTTAATAATTTTTTGAAGTAAATTTCCCTATAACTTTTTAAACTAGGCAAATTAATCAAATTTTTATGACTATTTCCTTTTTTTATTTAAATAAAATATTCTTTTTTATTTTTTTCGCGCTTTGAAAACGCGAATCTTTATTTATTCAATTCTTTTACCATTAATAAATTAGGATTAAGTTAAATTAATTACGATTTCTTATTTTTAGCGTTTCTGAAACGCGAAAACTGATTTTTAGCGTTTTCAAAATGCAAAATTATTTTTTTAGCGTTTTCAAAACGCGATTTTTGTTTTTTTCGCGTGTTTGAAGCGCGAAAGAATTATTTTTGTCTACAATTAAAACCCTAGGTCTAGTTTGTTATTCATAATTTTTTTTAGATATGTATAAGTAAATTTTCCATAGACTTGAATAGTGGTGACATGTGATAATCAACAATTGTCCAAAAAATTGATCTCCCCTTTCACGTGATATTCCATTCAACAGTATAGTTTCATATATTTGATTATTTCCAACATATTCCATCACCTAATTTTCATGATTCCAATTTTCAACGACCAAAAGAAAGGGGAAGAACAATGGAGTTTCACGTTTAGTATCCTGTGTAATGATTTTTCTTTACTACAAAAGATTACAATGGCAAAACCTTTTAGGATGTGTGTTAGTGATGGTGTTGGAGAAGAAAACTTGTCATACTATTTCGCGAAACCAAAAAGATATTTCCAATGAACGCTATGCGAGATTTTATCCATGTCTACTATATTGTCAAAGACAACTAGCTCTTTGAAACATATTACAATCTCCTTGAACATGCATGATTGTGAATAAACATGCAACATTGATATTATTAAGGAGAAAAAATAATGATTATACCATTACATTTCAAATTAAAAATCTTCCCATAAGATGTAATTGAGAGAAGATAAATGGTTTGATAGAAAATGCAAGACAATTAAATTAGATGAGTAGACGAGTAAAATAAACTAGATATGATTAGTTGAGAATGTAACTTTTTTCTATTAATACGAATTAACAGAAAAAGATGTAATTGTGAGAGTTTAGATGAAAAGAAAGAAAAAAAAAGTTGAATGATTCTTGAGGGAAAAAACAAATATTCTATCCATTACATGTTGAACTAAAGATGTTTAAAAGCGAGTAAAGTTAGACAAAAATAAATGATTAAATGTAGAAAGTGAATCATCCAAAATAATTGATTCATGCGCTAAGGGATTGTGATGTAGCCAAAGACATCTGGGAAAGCTTAATTTCGGTGAACCCGAAGTCAATCATCTTTTACTGCAACTCCTAAGGATTGGCTCAATTCAAATTTGGGGGATGATGACAAGAAATGGAGAATTTTTGTTTGGCGTTACATGTTGGTCATTTTGGAACTAGCTAAAACGATAGTGTTCAGTGCGGTAAACATTAATCCAAAATGAAGCAGTCAGAACCATACGACACAAGACAGAAGAAGTTATGCGGTCTCAACAATTGCCGAAATGGCAAAGTTCAGGGAGGAGCAGAGTTGACACCGCCAGTTGGAAACTACCTCCGCCGACTTGGCTCAAGGCCAACTGCGATGGGGCAGTATGCAGGGAAAGTAAATTAGCGGCAGCGAGTGGCTTGATCATGGATGAGACAGAAGGTGTTGAAGGCCTATGACAAGAATCTGGGAGTGAGCACAGTAGAAAATGTTGAATTAGTAGCTATCCTATTAGCAATGCAATTTGCTATGCTAAACAGCTAGGCTGACCCAAACTTATTGTTGAATCAGATTCCCAAGAAGCCATTGACTTGGTCATGAACCTGACTGGGAATGCACAATTGGATCCTGTCCTAAGAGGAATCCAGGAGCTTTTGACATTGGACTGGGTGGTGCAGTTCGAGTTTACACCCAGAGAAAACAAACTTAGCGCTGATAAGCTAGCTAAAGAGGCGTTAAGTCATAAGTTGGGGATATATTCTTTTAATGTTGCCCCAAGTTGTATAAGACTACTAGTCGAACATGACATTTTAGATAGTAATCGATGTAATAGCCGAGGCAACCAGCCTTCCTCAATATTATTTCACCAAAAAAAAAAAAAAAGATGTGTTTCAGTGACCAGAGGAGATATCTTGAGGTTGATGATATCTATTGCCGTTCAGCAGTAAATTGAGGGTTTGATTTTTATGTGATGGTCGCTTTGAAGTTGATCATTCTTTTGGCTGGTTGAGCACACCCTATATGTAATATGCACGTTTTATTTGTCAGACTTTATTTTGTTAGAAAGCCTTGTAAAGTTTTATTAGTTATGTGTAAGTTTATCTTGGGAACAACTGGATTTTATGTCATACGAAGAGCAGTGATTTCGCAGGAGTAAAAAAATGAATAAAAAAAGGTGAATGGTATCATTACAAGGAAAAATTAGCCCACTATAATGTAAACGTGAGATCTCATTAAAAAATGATCTATAAGAGATTAGCTAAAGGAAAAGAAAATAAATCTCAATAATATTATTAAGGAGGGAAAAAAAAATTCTCCTGCCGTTACTTTCAAATTAAGAATCTTCCAAAAAGTTATGGCTGACAAAAATAAAGAATTTCTGGGTAAGTATAAGGCGAAATGAATGATTAAATGGGAACTACATGTAACCCAAAAAAAAAAAAAATGTAACAACAAAAAGAAAAAAAAAGACGAAAGTTGGCATTGGTTGTGATTTTCTTTTTTCCTTTTTTTTTCTTTTTCCACTTATATTCAGTGAAGAATAGATGTGGCAATTAACCTATTTGAGTTTGATAGCATATTGTGAGGAGATGGTAGCTGATTGAAGAAATTTGAATCGTTGCCTTATCTAGACACAAATGTGTTCATGGAAAATATAAAAAGTTAAGTGATGCATGATGAGATTGATTACAACAGACAAGAATTGTTGACGGAACATAGTTGGTTGTTTGATAAATTAATGGTGGAGCAAACCGGAGTTTATTAACGCATGATGTCTGTAGTTGCTGAATACAACAGGGGGAATTCTTCTTTAAAGATACAAAGGTATGCCAAAAACATTCATATAAAGGACATTATCCTGTTATGTATTGTAAAGTTATTGTTATAACGACATCAAGTCGTATTACATAACTGCTTTCGTCGGGAGGTAGAATTGCAAATTAAGATTTTTAATTCTTTTATTCAATTTATGCACTAACACTTGATAGTAGCTTTGCTACTATGTAGAAATGGACTTAGGTGATAATATAAGACGAAGCACTTATAATTCACAAATATAGTTTACAAACTCTTGACTAATCCTTGCAAGATATCTTCTGATCAATTGATACAATTAAGACTAAGAGATATTTTGGTGGCAAAGTTGTGTCCTTAATCATTTCAAGCAAATTCTTCCAGTAGTACCAAAAGGGACCATACCTTTTCGATACCATAAAATTATACCTCTGCAAACCTCAAAGTTATTGTGATGTCCTCTAATACGCTCCAGTCACCTTAAATCCAACAAAGAACTCATAGA